CAGGAGTCAAGCAGCTGGGTCCTGGGCTGCGTCCGCACCGCCGGGTCCTCATGGTAACTCCTGGTTCTGCTCGGTGGTCATGTGGACTCTGTCGCCCCCTGCAGGCCTTCTCTCATGTCTCCAACCTTCTGTCTCGGTGTCGCTTTGAAGATCTGGACGGACTGGTGGCCAAAGACGTGAGTTTGAGCAGCAGGAGGTCCGATTGGAGCGGGTCAGAACCAGCAGCTCACAGTTGCTCCTGTTCCTCCTGCAGCTGATCGGGAAGCTGGAGGAGAAATGCAGCGCTCTGCCGTCTGACCACCAGGAGGCGCTGTCAGCAGAACCGGACCAGATCATGTACAGCACGCCCGGCGACGTGGGCATCTTCTACGACGACGACGGTACGACCAGAACCGCTCTCAGCCCGGTCCGATTCAGACGTTCCTCTGAACTGGCTGGAGGTTCTAATCAGAACCGAAGGTCTGGTTCTGATCAGTAGAACCTCTAGAACCTTTTCTCATGGCGGTTCCGCCCCGTTTGTCTGCAGGCAGGAAGTTCGTCAGCATCCTGATGCGGTTCTGGTACCTGACCAGCGCCCGGCTTCCTGACGACAGCGTGGAGGGAACCCGCCTCTTTAAGGTCGCCATCGGAGATGGAGAACCGGAAACCAAGAGGCTCCTCACCGCCATTTACGAGTGGGTCCAGAACCGGAACCAGAACCAGAACCCGTCCTCACAGTGAAGGTTCCTGAACTTCTCTCTGTTCTGCTTCAGGTTCCAGAGGGAGTTCACCAAGGGGGTTCCTCCAGACTGGACCATAACTCGGATAGAACACTCCAAGCTCCTGGACTAGCAGGACGGGTCCGATTCCCCATCAGAACTCAGAGAGACCCTCCTGGGCTCCTCCTCACAAGGAGAACCACAGAGGAGCAGCAGATATGATGCCAGAACCTCCTGAACCGGAAAGACAGGAGGCGTTCCTCTGGAGTAGAACCGTAGAGAAATAAAATGAACTCTGACCTCTGACCCGGTTCTGTTCATCTGGTAGAACCTGCTTCTGTTTCCATCAGATTCATTCTTTAATTTAATAAAAATGTTTCTTATTTCCTCAGATTTTCTGTTTATTTGTGGAGAAAATTTGTTTCCTTTAAGTTTAATCTAGAACGTATTAGAACCTCAGAATCAACCTGCCAGGAGAACCCACAGGCAGGAGGAGAACCCAGAGGCAGGAGGAGAACCCAGAGGCAGGAGGAGAACCCAGAGGCAGGAGGAGAACCCCAGGCAGGAGGAGAACCCAGAGGCAGGAGGAGAACCCAGGAGAACCCAGAGGCAGGAGGAGAACCCAGAGGCAGGAGGAGAACCCAGAGGCAGGAGGAGAACCCAGAGGCAGGAGCCTGGACCGATCCCATCAGAACCTAACTTTCCTTCTAACTCAGAACCTTCATTATTATCAGAAATATTTCAGAAATGATGGAAACCTAAAGCGTTCAGCTGCTGCGCTGCTATTGGTTCACATTCTCAGGCCCTTCTCCCCTGATTGGTCCAACAGCTGCTGCTGACTTCCTACTTCTACGGTGGACGCTTCCTTTACCATCAGCCGGCAGGAGAAGATGCCAGGTGGGAGGAGTCTTTTCTAGACCCAGACAGTTTCCTTCAGGAGAGGCGAGAACAGAAACGAGTCATCAGGTTGATAGGCGGTCATTACGTCATTTCCTGTCGCTATGCTAACATCGCTGCCAACACCTTTCTACTAATCCAGCAGCTGCGGGATCATGACGTCATTCACCGCTTTCCAGCCACGCCCCTCCCGTGGGCCGGCTGCCTCTCCGGCTGCCTGTAAAGGAGCGGTCCTCCCGTGAACCGGTCTGACTGGCCTGGCGGTCCGGCAGCAGGAGAGCATGAAGGCCGCCGCGGTGGCTTTTTACGGAGCGGCTCTGGTTCTGCTGCTGGCCGCTCTGAAGGAGCTGCTGACCGGCTTCGAGGAGAACAGATGCAGCATGACCTACATGTTCGAGCAGCCGGAGTACCGGGTGGGTCTGCTGGCAGCGGCGCTGACGTCATCGGGTCAGATACGATATTAGATATAAGGCGGAACCGGTTCGGTTGGATCAGGTTATCTGGCTCTGATTGGATCAGAACCGTAGATCCAACCAGGTAGACATGGCTGCAGGTGGAAGGTTCCCTGATCCCATTAGAACCTCCAACCAGAACCTGGACTCAGCCCAGAGCTTCAGGGAACCGGGTTCTCCTTCAGGTTCTCTTTGCTGGGAACCGGGTTCCCTCTGCTGGGAACCGGCATCTCTTTAAGGTTCCCTCTTCTGGGAACCGGGTTCCCTCTGCTGGGAACCAGCATCTCTTTAAGGTTCCCTCTTCTGGGAACCGGGTTCCCTCTGCTGGGAACCGTGTTCTCTCTGAGGTTCCCTCTGCTGGGAACCGGCATCTCTTTGAGGTTCCCTCTGCTGGGAANCTGGGAACCGGGTTCCCTCTGCTGGGAACCGTGTTCTCTCTGAGGTTCCCTCTGCTGGGAACCGGCATCTCTTTGAGGTTCCCTCTGCTGGGAACCGGGTTCTCTTTCAGGTTCCCTCTGCTGGGAACCGGCTTCTCCTTCAGGTTCTCTTTGCTGGGAACTGGCATCTCTTTAAGGTTCCCTCTGCTGGGAACCGGGTTCCCTCTGCTGGGAACCGGGTTCTCTTTGAGATTCCCTCTGCTGGGAACAGGGTTGTCTCTGAGGTTCCCGCTGGGAACAGAGTTCTCTTTCAGGTTATCTCTGCTGGGAACTGGGTTCTCTTTGAGGTTCCCTCTGCTAGGAACTGGGTTCTCTTTGAGGTTCCCTCTGCTAGGAACCGGGTTCTCTTTGAGGTTCCCTCTGCTAGGAACCGGGTTCTCTTTGAGGTTCCC